TATTTTTATTGTTCAATATATATATATATATATATATATATATATGTGTGTGTGTGTGTGTGTTTGCGTGTGTGTTTGAGTGTGTGTTTGAGTGTGTTTGTATAAATGGACATTGATGTTAACATACAACACCGACAGTCTTTCATGTTTAAACAAAATCTTCATGGCCTGAACTCTATTTTCATATTTACATACGCTCTATCTCTGGTATTGAGCAATTGAACACATTAATATAACATACTTTAAAACTATATATATGTATATATATTTATATATATTCTAGAATTGCACTTTTATATCGCTTCGTTTTTACGGGTCTGGCTAATAATCATCCTAACTTATATGATTTGTTCCCTCAGGTGTTCTGGTATCAATGTTTGGCCCATTAAGATAAACGACCTTATCAGATTGGCGCAGTCAGGAGTATTGATTAATCCCGTTTCTAGGGAAAGTTAATAATTTGTGTTTTCACATCACTAATCTGAATGTGAACGTCCTTTTGGGTTTGAGCTGAAACTGAAATCAAATGTAAACGGATTTGTTCTGCTGCCGTACGAACATTCGGGATCGACGACCCAATCCCAAAACCAACCCACCCCAAATTAATCAGTAAATAGCCTACCAAGGCTTTGCATTTATTTTACATTTACAATAAGAGCTATGCATTAAGTTAAACTTCTTTTGTATTCAATTTAATCCAATACAAGCCCTAATATTCACTTAAGGCAGAGGGTTGCTGGATAAGGTTTCTGTGCAGACGCAAGAGGAAGACCTGAGTACAAATTATGATGATATGTAAGATAGATATGGGTACATAATTTTATGCTTTCAACTACGGATATTTTCTCCATAATTTTATACTATCAGGGTAAAAGTTTTTTTTTAGATATGTAAAGTGGATCATTCTTTAGCGATCCCACCAGATTGAAAGAAGAAGCTTTTGCCCATTCCCTTCTCGGCTGTGGCTGGGGTCCTTCCCGTTTAACAAGCCACTGTCTACGACGCTTAACATTTCGATAAAAGATCCATATTTTGTCGTCAGTCACAAGTCTATCCAAAAAAAGGCGAGAATGGAGAGAAGAGCAGATGCCAACTCGGGATTTGAGGTTGTTTTCAGACAATTCATGAGGCACCCATTTTCCAAGTTTAGGAACTTTTCCAAGTTGTTGAAGATGACGATGAACAGTTGTATTGTTTGAACTGAGAACCACTGCTAATTCCTCAACTGATAATGCAGGATTTTCAAGAAGCTTTTCATCAAACCCAACTGGACGTCCGGTTCAATCTTCATCTTTGTTATGGTCCAAGTTCCTTGTACCACGGTGATGGTCCAAGGTTAGAACCAATGAAAGAATAACACGGACACAGGTATGGAATACAAAGATATATTACAACAGAAATATAATACAAAAAAGTAGAAGTATTAGTAATGACTATCAGATTTGGTTAGAGTGAACTATGTTGTCTCGACAAGTATCACTATTCCAATGTCCTTACAATATGCTCTCAATTATATCTCCTCGTCTTACAATGTCCTCATACCTCTTCAGAGGCACAGTATTTATAATGTCAGGAATAGTCCATTATTTTTATGGGTAAGTTCCCATAACAATCTTCAAGAGTGAAATCTCCACCTCTGAAATTTGTAAACCATCTTCTGCAAGTTCTTTCATTCACACATTCCTCTCCATAAATTGAGTGAATGTTTTTAGCCGCTTCGGCTGCTGAGTTTCCTTTCTTGAACTCATAAAGCATTATGTGCCTCAAATGATTCTTGGCTACTTTCATGTTAGCAGGGTTTTAATCAAACAAAATTTTATTTTATTGTTCTTTGAAATAAAATTTGATCAGTTTAAATGCATCTAAACAAAAATAATGTTCAGCTCCATTAGACATTATAAAATACTCTTTAAATTTCGTTCATTTTAACAAAAAGTTAAAATTCGGACAGAACTTATGGGATGACCTGATAGAACAAATATAACAATACACTGGAATAAAAGCTAGTTAATCTAGAAAAGATCTGTCCTTACCATGTATCCTATTAAACACAATAACTAAAATTATATATATATATATATATATATATATTCCAATCTTGTTCAGACCGTTAGATATAAATAAATAAATATACTGTTTAATAAACAAATATACATTCCCCAAAATTGTTTACGTTAAGATACGAAAATGAGGACATATATATATATATATATATATATATATATATATATATATATCTACTTTGTGTGATTCAGAGTGACATCAGTAAGTCAGATATCGCGAACAACTGAATTATAAGATCATTCTATAGACACATCCCTGAAAGAAATATTTTCGCCTCTTGTCACTTGAACTGGTATGCCTTACTGGAATAGGCCTCAGTAACGCAAACCAAATTGGTTATATTTTCACTCAGTTACATAAAAAAAAACAGGTAAAATAGTCAAAGTAATGTGCAAAATAAACAATACTTATATATATATATATATATATATATATATATATATATATATTAAGAATAATATTAATATATTATAAGGAATAAGGACAATTTAAAACCTCGCAAACTAACTGAACAAATTTCATCCATTTACAACTTCTCAGGCTGATAGTGAATAAGCTACACACACACACACAACACACACACACACACACACACATATATATATATATATATATATATATATATATATATATATATATATATATGTATGTATGCAAAAATCATTATTAAATGTGAAATAACATTATTGATGATGAGACGGCAGATTTTTTTTATTTTAGATATTTGGTAGGGAGAGCTTTGCTTTTGATTGCGTTAAATTCATTAATAAGAGATTTGGGTATTTTGAACTGATATGTCAGTTTAAAAGAATTTTATATCTAGACTGCTCAAGAATTTGTCAGAACACATGCAGTCTAGTTAAAAAAAAAACTAAGGGAAATGACTGACAAACATATGGCCAGTTTAAATATAAACTCCTTTCACGACAACGTTCCAGTTGAAAATGCATAAATCTCCTAATAATGCATCTCACAATCAAAGGCCAAGCTCCCCTATCATTACCTAATATAATAAAAATCTTCTGTTCCTCCTTGATTTGAATATTGATGTCGCATGTGATCCTTTCATATATTTAAAGATCCTTGATAAAATCCAAAGAAGAATCTGTAAATTACTGGTCATCTTGACCTCAGTCACAGTACCACCGCCGTAATATAAATTCCCTTTGGCGTTTGTAAAATTACTTTCATGCTTATTGTTCTGGTGAGCTTTACGTAGCAGTTAACAGTTTTATATTGCACTTGTGGAACTCTCTTCCAGCTTCTTGCTTCCCAGTCATGTTTGATCGTCAAAAGTTTAAATGCAATGCCAATCGTTATCTTCCGTCTGCTTAATTCTTATTCTTTTATTGTTCCCTTTCATTAATAGTGTTTTTTCTCATATTGTCTAACACTCAGCAACGTCTTGCGCCTTAGTTGCTTTATTGCCTTGCTTGGTGTGAAATGATTATATATATTCCCCAATATCTTCCTCCATACACACTATATTTTGAATTTACACCACAATATTAAATTGGGTTTATATTAATTTTGGATTTTGAATCTGCGTATAATTTAGCGTTCCTTCCATGAAACCCAGTACTAAAAATAAAAAAAACAACAACAAAAAACAAACAATGTAATAAGGGACCCATTTGCCATAAGTACCTGACGACATGAGAAACCATGAAAATTCAAGTTGCACTACAAATATAGGTATATATGTATTTTTTGAATCTCACCATGGTCGATTTGTCAGGTAGAAGATGTTCTGATGTTATCGGAATGGATCGAGGTCGATCCAAGCGTGCGGTACCTTTGGGAAGTGCCTAAAAACCATACCACGGGTTGACCTACGTCTTGTGTGTGAAATTGGGTAGACGGAACACTTGAGGGCCGTCAATAGCTGTGCTAGCACAAAGCCACAAGTCATCGTGACCGAGAGCTTAAGCGTGTCATCCTTGTTCCAGTTGTTTATCACGCTAGATAACACGCTCTCTCCCAGAAACTGTAACTAAAGTCTGCTCAGCATAGTTGCAGTATAAAACACAAGTGGGCTGTGTGGGTGTTAAGCAAATACAAATGTGCCTGATCGAGCGCCTGCAGTAGGGATCCAGTAGCCGCCCTAATAGACGGGTATCCTCGAATACGAGTTGCCAACTATTATATATATATATATATATGTGTGTGTGTGTGTGTGTGTGTGTTTTGGGTGGGTGTGTGTGTGGTATAACTAGGATGTAATAGATAGATAGATAGATAGATAGATAGATAGATAGATGAGGTTGTGGAAGAGCGGAAATTAATCGATAGAATGGAGAGGCCATACGGAAGCTTGTCGGAATGCAACCACCCAATCTAACATTAAATGTCGGATTTGCTAACGTGAAGACTAGCATAGAAATCATCTTATTGACTCAGCAAGAACCATCATTGTCTCAAATGTCAGTACCGAGCAGGGAGAAGAAATAAGAAAAAAAAAGATCTGTTCTCAGACTGGCAGCAATATCCAGCAGGCTGTTTTGGCGAGGAAGAGGTACCAATCGTGTCAGTTGTCAATCATTTCTTAACGAGGAATTTTCAGAGGAACATGAATTGCAATATAAGCAGAATAATAACACCCCACCCACAGAGAGACGGAGAAATATAAGGACAGAAAGAATGACCCAGAAATAAAGTGGGGACGGGTGGAGCGATGAGAAAAATCGAAATTGTGAGACGTGCCTGAGATATGGGTGGCTTCGATTGCCGACAAACAAAAAGTTTGTTCAGTAAAGAGTAGATGCACATGGAGATGATGATATTGTTATCTCTCTCTCTCTCTCTCTCTCTCTCTCTCTCTATATATATATATATATATATATATATATATATATATATATATATATATATGAATTAGTTTCAAAATTTTAAAATGTTATGTTTTTTGTCTGTCAGGTGTACATTATTTAAAAAGCATGTTTAGCAGCGTTATATTTGCGTGCACACACACAAATCACTTCATCGCTTTGACCTTTCTATTTCTTAATGTTTTACGTCAAATTCTATCATTTCTTTTCATTCCTTCTCCGACTCTCTCTTTCTTTAAAGCTGCCTTGCTTCCTTTCTCGCTCTTTCTTTCATTTCGTCTCTTTCTTATTTTCTTTCATTATTCCCACTTTCATCCTTCCAATTCTTTTTTGTCATTTTTCTTCTTACCTTTTGAAAGGTTTTTCATTTCGTTTTCTTTAAGTTTCTTAAATACTTTTCTCCTTATATTTTCAATTTGCATCTTTCTTTCTTTTTTTCTTCACGACTTCTTTTTCTGTTCGCTTCGTTCTTTCTTTAAAACACTCTTTCATTACCTTTCTTTTCTTTCTTACTTTGTTTCTTTCTGTACGAAACCTTAATTTCTCAAATCTTTCTTTCATTTTTTTCCTGACTTTTTCAATTCGCTTTCTTTCTTTCTTTCTTTCTTTCTTTCTTTCTTTCTTTCTTTCTTCAAATCTATTCTTTCATGGTTCCTTTCTCCGTTTTGCTACCCTCTTTATTTAAAATCTATCTTCATTTTATTAAATCATACATTCAGTAATTTGGTCCTTCATTCTTTCTTTCTTTTTCCTTTTTTGTTTTCTTTTATTTCTTTTTTTCTTTACGGCATTTTTTAATTTCGTTTCTTTTTTTTTCTGTAAATAAATTATTCTCTGTATATTTTTTTGTGCTTTTCCTTTTAGCTTTCCCACGTTTCTTTTTATCATTTCCTTGATTTCTTTTTTCTTTCTTTCTTTCTTTCTTTCTTTCTTTCTTTCTTTCTTTCTTTTTTACATTCTTTCTTTCTCTTTCTTTTTTCTTCGCTGCAATTTTTTTCCTTTTCGCATATTTCTTTCTGTAAACCAATTATTTTCTTTTCCTTTATTCTTTTTCCACATTTCTCTTTATCACTTCTTTTCTTTCTTTCTTTCTTTCTTTCTTTCTTTCTTTCTTTCTTTGTTCCCTTTTCTTTTCATCGCAGAAATTTTTTTTTCGCTCCTTTATGCAAATCAATTATTCTCTCTTGCTTTTTTCCTTTTTCTTTATTCCTTTCCCACGTCTCTTTTTATCATTTCAATGACATCTTTCTTTCTTTTTTACGTTTTTTTCTTTCTTTCTTTCTTTCTTTCTTTCTTTCTTTCTTTGTTCTCTTTTCTTTTCATCGCAGAAATTTTTTTTTCGCTCCTTTCTGTAAATCAATTATTCTCTCTTGCTTTTTTCCTTTTTCTTTATTCCTTTCCCACGTCTCTTTTTATCATTTCAATGACATCTTTCTTTCTTTTTTACGTTTTTTTCTTTCTTTCTTTCTTTCTTTCTTTCTTTCTTTCTTTCTTTCTTTCTGTTTTCTTTTTTTTTTTTCATACTGTCTTTTTTTCAATCTTTCTTTTTTTTTCTTCTTCTTCTCGGCAATCGTTTTCTTTTCGCCCCTTTCTATAAATCAATTCTTATCTCTTTCTTTTTCCTTTTCCTTTTTTCTTTTCCACGTTTTCTCTTTATCACTTCATTGATTTCTTTCTTTCGTATCGGCAAAGCGCTTAACGCAGCGCGCAATCTGCTCTCCAAGATTTCACAGGAAGGGGGGGGGAAGAAGAGAACCAAGAAGAGAAAGAGCCCTCTCCCCCAACCCCCATCGACATAAGACACGGATGGCCTTGCAATCCTGTTAAACGTCGCAGAGAAACAAGAAAACCGCTAAATGTGCATATTGACAACACTAAAAAAAATAAAAAAATAAAAAAAATAAATAACTAATGCCAGGTGAGGACAGAATATTTTCAAAGTCAGAATTTTAAAAAAAGGAATACAATAAGTCTATCATTGATTCTTATTTATGAGAGAAAAACGGAAAAAAAGACCTGCAAGCACATGGGGTATTTAAAGTTATTTTCTCGAGCGTACCTCACGTTAGATGCATTGCTCTGATCGAATCGACTATATCACGCACAAAAGACAACATCAAATACTGTACATACTCAAGTCGATTTCTTGTAAAAGAATTTCAAGTCTCTTATTTTTTGCTTGCAAAATCTGTATTTTCCACCATTTGTTTATAGAGCCGATCTGGTTTTTGAAAAGCCGTTCAAGGTTGCTTGTAAGAACATGGAAGAGGTTCATGAACAAGGTTCTTCATTCGAGATTCGCTAGATTTGATTTAAAGTGGAATATCTTATATTGAAAAGAAAGAAAACAGATATATAATCTAGTTTTTCTTTGTTTAAATAAATATGAAAGCAAAATGGTGATGAACGTCATCTGTAAATTCCTTCAAGTTATAATGATTTTTGTAAAAAATCTTATCGAAATAATGACTGACCACAAAAAATAAAAAAAAGGAATATCAAGCATCAAAATAGATTAAAATAAGTTCATAAAACTTATAATACTGAGCATCAATATCTGATTTTCGGCCTTGCATTCAATGCTGTTGCTATATATGGCCTGGGGCCCACTGTTCATCACGAGGTCTTTGACAAAATACACAGACGGATATGCAACGTGATATATCCTGATCTGGCATCTCGTCTACAGTCACTTTCTCACAGATGTGATGTGGCTTTCCTCTGTCTTTTTTACAAATATTTTCATGGATACAGCTCTGATGAGCTTTTTCCCTGGTGCCTGGACGACGGGAGATTAAACGTGCTACCAGACTGGTATCTAGATACCACCTTTTACTCCTGAATTACGTAAAAGTAACCGCTACTTCTACTCCAACAGCTTCTTTTCTAGCACTTCCCACATGTGAAATTACCTTCCGTTTTCTTCCTTCCCTCATAACTACAATCTTCACAAATATAAATGCAACGTCAATCGCCATCTTTTATTTTCTTGAACCCCCTTCAGCTTTTATCCTTTCCTCGTCTCCTTTATACAGTCTTTTCTCTAAACTTCACTCTCTGTAACCCCTTGAGTTCTAGTAGCATTCCTTACTTGCTTGGGGTGAAATGATTTAAAAAACAGATAGACAGAAAATTCGGTAGAAAGTGGCAGATACAAAGATAGAAAATGATTTAGATAGATAGAAAGTGACTTAGATATATATATAGATAGGAACAGACTAATATAGATAGATAGATAGATAGATAGATAGATAGATAGATAGATAGATAGATAGACAAAAAATTAGGCAGAAAATGACAGATAGATAGATAGATAGATAGATAGAAAATTAGGTAGAAAGTGACAGATAGATAGATAGATAGATAGAAAATTAGGCAGAAAATGATAGATAGATAGATAGATAGATGAACAGAAAATTAGGTAAAAATGTGACAGATAGATACAAAGATATAAAGTGACTTAGATGGAAAGTGACTTAGATAGGAACAGACTAAGATAGATAGATAGATAGATAGATAGAAATTTTGCATTCATCTCAGCTCCTTTAATAACTGCACCGTTTCTGACTTTAAAAAAGACTGCAAATGTAACTCGCATCGATTTCTCTTGAACCTTTGCACCGTGGTATTAAAAAGTTCCTCCAGAGAAAGAGTTTAACAGCCAAAGATACTCATACTGATGTGCTTGCTATATTAAGGGATGACGTTTCAGTTTTATCGGCAGTGCAAAAGTGGACAGCTTAATTTAGGAGTAGAAGATGTACCATGGCTTGGATATCCTTCAACTGCCACCACGGTGAAGAACATTGATCGTGGTGATCAATGAAAGGCAATTGGGTATAAATGAAATAACCAATGTTATTACCATATCTCGTGAACGAGTTGAGAATATTCTGAACAATAAACATGGCAGGACGAAGATTTCTACTCGGTGGGTGTCACGTCTTCCGACACCTGATCAAAAGCGCACCAGGCTGATCACATCACAGGAAAATCTGACCTTGTCTGAGGCAGCTACTTTCAGAGATACAACAAAGGAAGTAAAAACACCATTCATCACCTACTCCAAACCAGGCCAAGGTGATGAACTCAGATTTGCGGATGCGAAAAAAGCATTGTGTTTAAAAGGGCCACGCTATCAATGGAGAGTACTATGTCAAACTGGTGAGACAGTTACGAAATGCTATTAAGATCAAAAGTACAGGGAAACTGAGAAAATGAGTCATGTTTCCTTGGGACAATGCTTCAGCATCAAAACCTTGATTCCAATGGCTTCCTATTCTCCTGATTTGACTATCATCTGTTATCCAACATGCAAAAATCACTTGGCTGGGAATTAGTATCGCGGTGATGATGACATCATAAAGTCTGTTGATGAGTTTTGACCATGAAGATGAAAGATTCTTCACTACTGAGATCCAAGAACTTCAATACCGATAGAAGTGTGTGAACACCAAGAGAGCCTATGTTAAAATATAAAGCTCACTTGGACGCATTCCATGAAAACATCTTAGAGAGAGGCAGACGGACAGACAGAAAATGAAGAGGCTGAAATCGACACAGATACACACACACACACACATATATATATATATATATATATATATATATATATATATATATATATATATGTGTGTGTGCAGACACATGCATACATATACATATATAGATACTGAGAGAAAAAACAAAAACAACATCTATTCCATACCTGTAGATGTCTGTAGGAACAGACGAAAGCTTGTAGTAAAAATAAGAACTAATGCAACAGAAACTTATAAAAACAAGGATCTTTTCATTCATAACAGGTTCGGGGTTTTTGTATATTATTTGAATTGTTCGCGACGATGGTTTTCTCGCCAATTAAATCATTAACCTTTGTATTTGTTTTTGTATGAATAATTCATGAATATATATATATATATATAGAGAGAGAGATAGATAGATAGATAGATAGATATGAACAGACTAAGATTTATAGATAGATAGATAGATAGATAGATATGAACGGCCTGAAATAGACAGATAGCTAGATATGAACGGACTGAGATAGATAGATAGATAAATAGATAGATAGATAGACTGAAATAGACAGATGTATAGGCTGAAATCGACACAGATGCATATATTATAATAGCTGGCCACTCGCATTCGAAGATACCCGTCTACTAGGGCGTCTAGTAGCGAGCTATTAACGTTAATCTATTAAGAGGGTTTATTTCTCCGGCTTTTTTTCTTTTAAGATTTATTCGTAATTATTTATATCTCTGTCGTTTTTCTCAAATCACTGTAGGACACAGGTTTTTTTTTTTGTCATGAGACTGTAAAAGTTTTATGTAATCATTGTTCCCCTTTTCAGAGCTGAAGTAATTTCAGATGTCGCAACTGTAGCGGCGCGAATGAAATAATTTTGACGGAGAAGATTGTGCAGACCTTCACGTGTTTGGTAGGCCGTCTATGACTTTAAGCGAAATCCTGCTCGAACACTGCAGAACTGGTAACATTGACTTCGCGTGTCTCCTGGCTTCTTAGTATCTTCCTGAGCGTGTAGATCAATCGAGATTGAAGCCGACGGCCTGTGATAGGCGTCGCTAGCGTGGCTAATATTAATTGTCAGCCTGCCACTCGTGTCGCGGGCCGACATTGTGGGATCAGATCTAAATAAACGCTGCATTTGTAGATGCACGCAACGCAAACACGCCCGTCTTGCTCCAGCCTAATTGTATAATGGTTCGCAATGACTAGAATATTTCCGCCTCCTTCTTGCAATACGGACGCTAAGGAACGGTGGCTCATTGCCTGGATGATGCTTGCACGCGTAGTTGTGCTGGTAGTGTAGCGATTACCGGCACATAAGGTGAAATCGGCCAGTCGATTATTATTTATTGATTTTTCTTACGGTTTATCAACCTTTATGAGGTTACTTAAAGCTGAAACATATATTTGTATTGTAAGAATTTTTTTTAGATAATGATTTTTGCAATATAAAACATAGGTGGGCTCTGTGGGTCTTGAACAAATATAAAATGTGCCTGAGTAAGCGTCTGCAATAGGGATTAGGTAGCTAGATTATTAGACGTGTATCCTCGAAATTTTACGCCATGCACTATTTGATACATATCAAGAAATACCAGAGGACGCAATAAAAATTTAAGGAACCTTTAATCTAAGAGGAGTTGATCTGTGGTGACCTCAATATGTATCAATATGTATTAAAGATACCAAAGTCAGTCTCATCACAGACCGAGATGCCTCGAGCGTTGACCAAGAATATGTCCTCAAAGTCACCAAGTGCAGAATCGGGCCTCAAGTTTGAGGGTGCACCAGCGCAAACTGGAAGTTGAACGCCTGATCTATGAAACTACGTGTCATATCCGCAAGAAGATCAAACATTCTAGCAAAGACCCGAAACCATATACCCTCGATTCAGCCAACGTTAATTGACCGAGGACAGAAGTGAAGAAACAATTATTTTTCGTAAGAAAAACCCAGTCTCGTATTCTTAGGCACTCCTACCATATTAAAACAATTTTATTAGCGTTGGCTTTTTATCGCAAAAGCTAGGGCCAATTGACTATTTATTATTATTCTTATTATTATTTAACGGCCAAACAGACTGCATTTTGTTATTGCTGCTTTTTATAAAAATAATTCTGGGTATTACACTTTTGCTTATTATTATTATTAGTATTTCCTGCCTTGTCTCCTGTAGAGCCGGGTTCAAACTATAGTCCTTGGGCCCTATAGGAGAATTGTCATTTAAATGATGCCACTTTTCTTAGTATATGAGATGTTCCTAGTAGTGTGATTTTCTAGGTAACTTTATGTTGATGTTACCTTTGACACAGTGAGTAAAATTTTCCATTCCTTTTCTCACCATGCCCAGCGCTCCGATTACTATTGGTGCAATCTCAGACTTCAATTCCCCACATCCTGTTAATCCCGATCACCAGATCCTTATATTTTTGAAAATTTCTCGATAATTTTTATGGAGATGTTTCTCTAAGATGCTACTGGTACGTCAATAAGCATACAATTCCTATGATAATATCAGGTCTATTAGCTTTAATTTCACTGTCAGTTTAAATTGACATGTCCCAGGGGATTGTTAAATCGTTATTTTGGGTAACTGTGTCTGGTTGCCATACCATCTCTCAGTGGTTTCGATTTTATGCTTCTTGTATATCTTCCGGTGCACATATGTCGCCATTTTGTTATTTTTGTGCCAGTTCCGGACGTGTGGAAATAATATGATCGATAGTTTCATCATATTTTCCGCAGATCCTGCATTTCGCGTTTGTTCCATCCTTGATTATGTCACAGTGATAGTATCTGGTTGCGAGGGTTTGGTTCTGAGCTGCAAGTATTATTATTATTTTATAAAGAAAGATTCTGATGAATCAATTGATAGATCTACTGCTAGGAAAGTTGATTCATTGTATCGTGCTTGACAGTTTTTCTCACCAGAATCCATGGATGAATATTGCTGCTACATCTGGTCTTGTGCAGTAATATAGCTTCTCTGTGCTTTTTCTAAAATTATTATCATGTTATAATTGTTCTGGTAAACTTTCCTCTATGGTACCTCAACTTTATAAATTTAAGCTCAGTACTAGATTGGCAGCTAGGTCTCATCATGGTGCAGCTGAAATAACTAGACTTAAACCTTAGTTCTATACTAAAAGTTTCTTCGGTTGCACTTATTGCTTGTGGAACTCTCTTCCGGCTTCATGCCTTGTAGTCAACATTTTCGAAAATTTAAATGCAATGCCAATCATTATCTTCTGTCTTCTTAATTCCTGTTTTTTTTTAATTTTTTTTATTGTAATCTCTCCTCAATGATATTTTTATCATATTCTCTCACACTCGGTAAACCCTTGCGTTGATGCGACTTTATTGCCTTGCTAGGGGTGAAATTATTAGAAAAACATAATTATACCCTGAATCGATACTCTTTTCATCATTAGGTTATTTTAATGCTTGTTTTATTCAGCTTTTTTTATTGCTGTTTTTTTTTTATTGCAACGTTCGGGGCCGATATATTCTTCATTATTACGATTATCTTATTACTACTTTTACGCCATTTTATGATTTTTCTTTTCTGTAACATCTTTTTAGGCCGGTAGACATTTGATTGTTACGAGTATTTTATTGCTCGTCATCTGCCTTCATGTTGTTGATTTTTATTAGAGCATTTTTAAATCTATGTACCCTTACAGAAGAAACACTCAAATCAGAAATAAAGTAACAGTGTCCGACGAATCAACGCCTTGGCACTAACGTGTGCTTCAGCCCCAAAATAATGTCATTTGGAGTAAAACAAAGGTGGCGTAGAAAATTGGAAAGGTCAGCATGAGGACTATTGACTTACGTTTTATCAAAAATGCGTCAGTGATCGAATCGATTAAACCGATGTCCAGGAAAATGATGTCTCCCCGCGTGTGAGATGAGAGATTCACATCTTTCTGATTTTGTACTTTTTCATGTTCTTTCTTTCTTTCTGTTTTTCTTTCTTTCTTTCTTTCTTTCTTTCTTTCTTTCACTTACACACACACACACACACACACACACAAATACACACAGACACACACACACAAATACACACAGACACACACACACACACATATATATGTCGGACACATCACTACCTCACTGAGTAGACGTATTACATGCCACCTGTCGCAGCAGATTGCAATTAATGAACATTTATTAGCTTATAACATCCAAGAACATTTAAAGAATATTCTAGTTGATAATACTAGTTGCTTGGGGTGAAATGCTTAAAAAATATATGTATCGAAAACCAAGAAAATGTTCCAAAATATAGTAAGAATTAATAAAAAAAAGTCCTTAATCATTTCTCAGGCTAGCTTTTCAGTTTTCGTGAACTAATGACGAAATAAACAGACATTAGATAGATATATTGATAAATAGACAGACATGAAGTCAGATAGATAGATATTAACACACTGGGATAGATAGATAGATAGATAGATAGATAGATAGATAGAGGGGAGATTGAGAATGAGGGAAAAAAGAGAAAGATAATGAAATTATTTTCTGATGAGTGTTTTTGCCGTTTTCGGTAGCTCTGTGGTTTTTTGATTTAGAAAGTACGACAGGGGAGTTGAATTCAAATGTTTATTTCCTTCACTTTTGAACTATAAGCCTTGGGAAAGATATGAATATATCTCTTCGTTTCCCAGCTACGATTTAAACAGAAGGAGACACTATAATCTCTAACTTTGTTTGGCAGTAAGATTAATAATCTAGGAAATAGACGGATAACTTTAAATTCGAAACCCGTTGAGCGTGGCACAAGCAATTTATCACTGTACAAGCTATTCCATGTTGAAACAACGATAGTCACGCCTAGTTTCTTTTGGCTATGGTTCTATACAATCTACAGAGAGCCTACAGATTCAGAAAAGAACAAATTTTGGACGTATAAACTTAAATAAGCTCCTTCAGACAGTTTAGTCAATTGGATTGTAGATAGCCTGACTCGTGCTCTTTATATTAGCTATTATTTCTTTTCTTTCAGTGCTGTTGTTGATTCATCTATCCGTATGTCTGACGCCATCTTGTGTTTATTTGTCTTATCAGCCATATTTGATTCCCCCTTTCCCGCAAAAGAAATGCCCCAAAGCTAGACATTACTTTTTCTTGTCGTATGTCTTGCTGCTTCTTAACAGCGATGCTCTTTTTTCTTTCTTTATATTTCTTCATTAGTTTTAATCTTTATGCTTCTTTCTGTCTGTGTTACGTTTTATTCTTTTTTGCTTCTTCCAAGTCGTCTTCGAGTTGCCTTGCTTCTTCGGAACAATCTTTATTACGTCATTCCACCTGTATTCCGTTTCTCTATATTCAAGGCTTTTTTTTTCTTTTTTCTTTTCTTTCTTCTTACTTTTTTCTTTTCCTTCTCTTTCACTGATTTCGTCTACTACGTCTTTCATTTTTCATTTTTCTTTCTCAACTGTTTAATCAATTCTGATCTTCATTCATTTATTTTTTCCCACTGAATGCTACTTCTTTTGCGTATCGATTTTCTTTTATGTACCGTTCTTCGTGACTTCTTCTTTGGTTCTTTCTCCAATTCTAATTCTCCTTCCTATTTCATTCTTTTTCTTTCACTTTCAGCTATTTTTCTTTTCTCAACCATTTCCCTCTTGTTGTTGGCTTCTTTTTCATTCTTCTAATTCCAATTTCAATTTTCTTTATTTCCCAACCACCCTCCTCCTCCTCCTTCTTCTTCTTCTTCTTCTTCTTCTTCTTCTTCTTCTTCTTCTTCTTCGCTTCTTTCATTGATTCACTTCACTCTTTTTCTTCTTCTTTCCTTCATTTGCTTCATTTTCATTCTTCTTCTTTGTGATTCCTCTTCTGTTACAATTTTATTTTTTCTTCTTTTCTTAATCATTTTTCTTTCTTTCTTTCTTTCTTCTACTTATTTGCTGTCATTTTTATTCTTCTTTATGTTTTTTCTTCTACATCCATTTTAAATTTTTCTTCTTTTCTCAACCATCTTCTTCTTCTTCTTCTTTTTTTTTTTCTTCTTCTTCTTCTACTTCTTCTACTTCTTCTTCTACTTCTTCTTCTTCTTCTTCTTCTTCTTCTTCTTCTTCTTCTTCTTCTTCTTCTTCTTCTTCTTCTTCTTCTTCTTCTTCTTCTTCTTCTTCTTCTTCTTCTTCTTCTACTTCTTCTTCTTCTTCTTCTTCTTCTTCTTCTTCTTCTTATTATTCTTATTATTATTATTTGCTATTAATTTCATTCTTCTTCCTTTTCATTCTTTTTATAATTCCAGCTTTATTATTATTTTTACAACCATCTCCCATTTCTTCTACATTTTTGTTTCCATCTTTTTCATTCTTCTTCCAGTTCTAATTTCATTTTTTCTTCTTTCTTCAATTATTTCTCTCAATATATTCTTCTTCATTGCTTACCTCTTCCCTTTTATTCTTTCACTCCTTCCAATTGCCTTTTCTTCTTTTTTCTTGCCAATTTTATTCCCATAATGATTTCATCATTCCCTCGATTCTTCACATATATTTGTGATTTTCTTTTTCTTTTTTGACCTTTTCTTTTTAATTTTTTCCTTCTTTTCTGACTTTCCTCACATTTCACTTGATTTCCTTTTCTACCAAAGATTAGCTTTTGCGTTGTCGTCCTTTTCTTTTTTTTTTTTTTTTATTTCTCCTTTAAATTCTATTGTCTTGATTCTTCTCTCTCTCCCTTTTCATACTTTATTCATTTCGATTGCTTGTTTTTCTCCCTTACCCCTCTTTATTTTCACTGAATTTCATCTTTTTCTTCTTTTTCATTTAATCGCTGTCTTTCTCACTCAGTTTTTCACAGTTTCTTATGGTGGTCTTTTAATTATCATGTGACCAACCCGCGTCTAAATTTCGAACGAGTGTCGTCCTATAAAACTCATCCAATAACAAATCCTTCTTCAAATTTGCTTGCTTTTCTTTACGCCTATTGTTTTAAATGGTTTGCCTCCATAATTAGAATAGGAAGAATTCAGTGGTTTGGTACTATTCTTCGCGTAATCAAAATTCTTCATTTTGTTTTTCTTTGGTTTTTGAGGGTTTTTTTAAAATCTTTTCTGCATTATCTTATTTTTTGTTTTTACTTCAAAACTTTTTTGCCTGGTTTCATTCTTTTAAAAAATCCGTTCTTTTTCTTTTGGAACATTACCTTTCTTCTCTTTGTTTTCCTTCATTTTTTTTTAATCTTTTCACTTTATTCATGTCTTTTCATCTTCTTCGTCTTCTTTTTCTTCTAAAAAGTCCTTCTTTATTCAGCCATTATTTTATCGTGGTTTATCTTCTTTTAGTTTTTAAAAAAAATCCTCTTTTTCAGCTAATTCTTTCTTCTTCTTCTATGTGTATTCCTTCTTTATTTTTAAGCATTTTTACTTCTTCTTCTTCTTTTTCTTTTTAGCCTTCTCTTCCATGTCCACCCTCTTTATTGTTAATCTTTAGTGTTTTCCAGCGTTTATTTCCTTTTCTCTTTATTTTCCTTCTTTATCTTTTAGTTTTTCTTCTTCTTCTTCTACTTCTCCTCCTCCTCCTCCTCCTCCTTCTTCTTCTTCTTGTCAATGTTCACCTTTCTTTTTAACTTTTCGTCTTTTTTAAAGCGTTTATTTCTTCTTACTATTTTTCTCTTTGGTTTCCTTTTTTTCTTTATAAGCGTTTATTTTTTCTTTTTTTCCTTTTCTTCTTCTTCATCTCCGTCATTGTCTCCTCCCACTTCTAATTCTCATTTCTTCATCTTCTTTTTCTTATTCCTCTACTCGTCTCCTCTTCCTCCTCCTTATTCTCATACGTCTTCTCAGACTTCATTTTCTTCTTCTTTTTCTCCTTCTTCTTCCTTTGTTAAAATTATATTATTATTTTCTCTTAAATGTTTTTGTTTTCTTCATCCCAATGCCCTCCCGGCTTTTTTTTCAGTTGTCTTCCCAGATTTCTTTCATGATTTCTCCTAACCTGCCCGAACCCCAATTATTTTTTTCATTCTTACTTACCCGACGTACACAGCTAGCTTTCTTTGGAAAAGTGTTTTTTTTTCTCTCTCTCTCTCTCCCTCTCTATGTGTTTCATTCATTGTAATGCCATAACAGCATTTCTCTCCTTTACATTATTATACAAACCCCGAGGCCTGCGTCAAGAGAGCACGTTTTTAACGTTGCAAGTGTTTGCAAATGCCGCTAGCACCAGCCTTGATTTGAATTTACTCACACGACAGACATTTGGAAACGAAATCCGGGAGTTAGTTTTTCCTATGCGTGTATATATGCTTGAGCCAATGTCTAATTCTTTCAGTAATCAAATGTCTTCGTGCTTAACTTTGGATACTTGTTTTAACTTGTGAACACACACACGCACACACGCACACGCACACACACACACACACACACACACACTATCTATCTATCTATCTATCTATCTATCTATCTATCTATCTATCTATATATATATATATATATATATATATACACACAGTTCATACTCATTACCTGAAGATTGCATTGTGCATGAAACTCCGTGTCAGGCTAGCGGTGACGGATAAAATGTATATTCATTTAGACGACAATTCATACAGAGCACCATATATATATATATATATATATATATATATATATATATATATATATATATATATATATATATATATATTTTATAGATAGATAGATAGATAGATAGATAGATAGATAATAATATAAACTTAAAGAGCCAGGCAAACCAACCTAGGTTTCACCTAAACGGATCATCAGGGTATATCTAAAAAATGTCACAGGTATAAAGCAGGTGATAAATTTTCTTCCCTATGCACGCAGGAAAAGTTAACTATTGCCAAGCTATAAAGAACCCAATAATTTATAGAACCAAAAATCGGAAATTCTTGGTAGGTGTAGACATATGAAAACGCTGGTTATTAGAATAGTTTATTTTTTACTTCCTTTTCTTTTCTTCCTTTTTCTTTTCGTTGTTGAATAAAGAACGTAACCCCTAACCCGCCATTGTTGAGTTTTACTATTCTTTTTTGTCACGTGGTCATAGTTGTTTTTGGTTTAAGCTATATATTCTGTTCCATTTTTACCTTTTTGGCCAGCTACTCTGAGGATCGAGCTTTGCGCAGGTGCGATGCCGTAGTCGATGAGGATTCGGGGTGTTGGCCGCTCACATGATCCTTGCTGGTGGTATCATGGCTGTGCTTAGCTCGGACTGGCTCTGACCAGCTATGACAAGCCAAGACTAGCTTAGACCAGCTCTGACCAGCTTGGACAAGCTATGACCAGCTAAGACCAGCGGCCCGAGTGAAAACACTCGGGTCCCCACGTTAAAAACTGACCTTGTGTCACAACCTGATTCAGTGGGGCGGGGGGCATAAATAAACAGCTACTCTGAGGATCCGTTTTGGTGAAACCTACGTAGGTTTACCTGGCTCTTTAGATTTATCTTAGGTTTTGCACTACTTCGTGTATTGAACAATTTACGTAGTTGCCTTTTACTCGTTTTGGAGTTTTTTTTTTCTTTGGACTCTGAGCTTGAACAATGGACGATTGTTTTCGCCTCAATTTCGTGTTCTTAGTTCTTTCTTTTTTTTATTCTTCATTTTTCCTTGGGTACTGAATGTTCTACTACAAGCCGAAATACCCAAGGTTTTTCCAAGCGAGGACCACCACTCCAGGCAACTTAACAATCTCTTGCAACTCTTCTGGGTGGTCTCTTTGTTTAAATTGGTGAATACTGTTATAATCCTTGCCAGTTAATTTTTGGTGTTAAAAGAAGTTTTTTGGTTTTTCTTTCATGGTGTGGTCGCAGAAATTGTCTCACAGCTGGGTCCTCCTAATTGTGTGGAACGATGCAGTGTCCTGTTGCAAGGCATAAGGTCTTCCAGGAGCCACCCTCTTGACCCAGTGCAGTACTATTATCTCAAGGCACTATGTAGGTCTCTCTGTTGAGTCTGAGACCTCATGGGAAGATGAATTGAGTCATAACGTCGCCATCACTTGTAATCACTCCAAACATCTTCGTAATCACTATTAGGCTCATTCAAATCTACTGCAATGTCCTCTCAGTGACAAGCAAACACTCTGAAATGTTCGTATTGGAGCTTCCGTCACGAATACTAAGCAGTACAGTAGACTTCCAAATCTCTGACGGAATAAATTGCGTCATGGTGTTCTTTGTCTCACAGACGGTCCCAAACCGACCATTTTATAATGTGCAGTCGACAAAATCAAAAACAAACAACGCGCATGTGCGAAATTAAAAATATAATATGGCGACCATTTACTCATCAAACATATATATATATATATATATATATATATATATATATATATATATATATATATATAATATATATATATATATATATAACAACCTACCACTAAGAGAAACCGTGGTAGGTTGTATGGCTCTCTAGGTTTAACTAGGTCTGCTCTATTTGTTGTATTGAGCACTTTATTTAGTTATTTTGCCTACTCGTATCGGTTTTTTTGTGGGATGGAGCGGGGCTTTGAACTTGCATGCTAGACGATTATTTTCGGCTAATGTACATGTTCTTGGTTCTTTCTTTTTTTATACCTTTTTTACCCTTTGGTACTGGTTTGATTATTTGCAAATCAAAAAACCGAACGAGTATACTTTCTTATATTTATAAGATTACTACTACTACACACACACACACACACACACACACACACACACACACACACACACACACACACACACACACACACACACACACATATATATATATATATATATATAAAATTTCAAACAAAATTACTGAACATTATGATGAAGTTCTACCGGCGAAGTGCATTTCTTGTGTTAGTGTTCTTGTAACACAAGAAAATCTACTAGAATTCTTGCTGTCTGAACAAAACTTGAATACATCTTGCTGCCTAAATACACCTTAAATTCACCAATATATTTTTACATAATACGAACAATTTGGGGGAAGACGCATGACATATTGGAAAAAAGTTTTCGTGTGGCGCGTTTTGTCCTTTAGGACTCCATCAGACTAAGTTTATGTTTACAGTGATGCGGCTATACATACGAACGAACGAGATACGCTGGGAATTTTAATTTATTTTCTTTAATATGTTTCGGGTATTATCACAATATGGTAAAAAGTTGAAAACTTTTAAGTAACCCAATTCCCCCTCTAAAAGGCACTCTGACGTATACCGTTATTATTTTGCTCACGCCAACCTTTACAGTAGACCAAGAATCAATTACCCTTGTTAAGAAAGAGGGATAGAGCCAACCAGTCGTTGGGAGAGATAACAAAAAGACAACATTTATTAAGAACTACAAAGGACAGGAACTTGTGGAGAGCCATGATCATTAATGTCCTGAAGGTACATGACATGTGAAGAAGGCATTTCTCGTTGGAACATTTCGAAGTGTATATTTGCAAACGTATATTTTCAGACCCGAAACGTAAGCAAAAGAATTTAATCAATTAAATGTTTCTTTCTATTCAACCCGACAGTGTTTCTTGTTTCTTATAAATGTTATTTTAGTTGATACACGTGTTGATCTCTGATGATTTGGATCAGCTAGAAGATTATCGTTTCTATACGAATGACCGGCGATCTCCCGTCGCTACAACAAAGGTAAACAGGAAATAAAGAATGGTGTAAATTAAGCTTGCTTGGGTAAATTCGAGAACGAGAGCATTTTTTTTTTAAATTCATTTACATCCTCACCATTTTGTATCAGTGGAAACGCAACGTTAAATGAATTATCGAATTTTTCAAAGACAGAGAAAAAAAATGGTTACCCTTTGCCTAGGCACGTTCCTGAATTCGCTGTCTGCTATTTTCCGAACGTGCCATTGTATTAGAAATAAAAAAAACAAAAAAACAAATAAGGACAAAACGTGTTTGATAAATTCGTTGTCTGAGAATTGTTACAGAGATGAATATTCTAGAGTAACATTTTAACCACACACCAACTGAATGGTAATTTACAGATTATAACGAAGCTTAAATATTGTCATGTCGGAGTGGCTCAATATGCACAAATTTCACCCCCCCCGCAGAAGCATGAGCCACCCCTAGACTGACCACCTTTTGGGTGGATACAAGCAGGTTCAAGGAAAGAGTCGGTGTAATTTGATGTCTGAATGACAATGGTCGCAGGGATAAAGTTTTCATGTCCTTGGTATAAATACAGGCGTTAAAGCGATCATATCACAGATTTTACTCTGCTGACCAACTTGTGTTGTATCGATCCGATCATAGGGCCGATTAGAGCTAGAATAAATTCGGCTTCATGACCAGGAAGCATATCTTCATATTTATTAATATCAAATAGAAAATTATTGAGGAAAATGTAAAGGAAGTTGTATAAAAAAAAGGAAGTTGTGTAAAAAAATGTAAAAAGTTGTGTAAAAAGGATGGAAATCAAGGATAATACCAGCTAAGAAAACGGCATATACACACACACATTTATATACATATATATATATATATATATATATATATATATATATATATATATATATATATTCCTATCTTTCCTTTCCCTCTCTAATTTCGAAACATATCTATCGTCTTCTTGCCCGTAATCTCTCTATCACGTTATATCAATTTAAAGCTACCTCCTCAAAAACACGTGTATAATAATAATAATAATAATAATAATAATAATAATAATAATAATAAGCATAATATAAGTTTTTAATTTATTTTTTGTTTGGAAATGGGATCCGAGGAACCAGGACGAAAATATCATTCCTGAGGAAATAAACTATAATCCTATGAACCCTTAAACTTGTCTGTTTCTTAATTTAACTAATATTTGCTCTGCTTTACATTGAGATCTCTGGATTACATCCTCGGGATTATCCATGCGGATTACCAAATACTCCTTTAACTAATTAACTAACTATATATATATATATATATATATATATATAGAGAGAGAGAGAGAGAGAGAGAGGGGGGAGAGAGGAAAGGAG